TAGAAGGAAATCACAGTAATTAGTGTTTCAGAGACTTTCTCACAGTCTTCAGTTTCCTCTGAATCTTTCACACAAGACTTAGACCTATTGTCTCACGGTATAGTGTTAGTATAGACTGTGAGTGGCGTGTGAGCTTCATAAATATGCATTGTTTCTAATGGGCCTGTGTGTGGTTGTTAACACCTGACAAACTCAGGTAAAGTTCTGCAGGTGCGGTACACTGATCATGTTTCCTGCCATGTCAGGGACACTCAAAGCATTGTTTTGTCAAATTCAATGACCATTTCAGATCCTTACTGAGATAGGATTTTATTGTGAGACTTTATGGGATTTTGGGGAAACAGATGGAAATCCAAGATCAGCATTCTTTCTGTCCCATGTGTAATATTACATAACATATACCTGATGCTGCGGGCATTCTCAGTTTCTTTCTAAACATATCTTTAATACTTGAGTGTTTATAAGAATATTACAAACATATTAAATGATAAAAATATTTTTTAAATGTGGGATTTTCTTAAAATAGTTCATGTCATTTTTGTATAATAGATGTATACTTAATTGTCATTCAGGATACTCATCAAAAAGCTGCACACTGACTTAGACATGTAAATAAGTGCTACAGTTGATAAAAATACTAAAAGTTTTAGATAATGACACTGATGCTCTTCTTGTGTTTGAGCTGTGGGAACAGGCTGACCTCTGACTTCACACTGTAGCATTGATCAAAGTCAACACTGAAGAAAAGAAACAGCAAACTTCACAACCAGGCCATGTGTAACACATAACGTCAGCAGCGCCCGGAAAAAAAAACAAGATTGGTGATATTGAGCTCATGTTTAGGTTAAAAACAAAAGGCTCCAGAGTCTTCTGGAGCAGTGGCTCCCATCAACCTCTAGTCTGTTTGGTTCAGGGCACAATAAATACAGGCTAGCCCTGCTCTCACATTTCTTTTGCACAAACTTCAATTAACATAAAAACTTTTCCATTAATGAATGGTTGAACTCCCCCTTAAAAGCCATTGATGATTTGAGTAGTAAATTCGATCAGGTTTGTAACACTTTTTGGACTCATTGTGCCGTATTAATCCTAGTGCATTTTCAGTAATTGCTTTATTGTACTCGCTGACACCAGCACTGATCACACTCGAGTCTCAGGACTGACGCCTTTCACTGAAAATGTAAATACTGTCCATTGTTGCATGGTGTTATTATGGCATCAGACACCCATATATTCTTATATAACCCAATGATGGTCACAGTCATGCAGAGTCATTTTGGACAAGGAACATTGAAAGGACTTTACCTTCCAGTGACCCCTGTAGTCTTTGAAATATACCCCCAAAGGTTAGATAACAAACAAACTTTAGTTTTAATAAAGATGTAAGTGCTGAATAACATATTTGTCCTGCTCAAACAAAACTGTGTATACCTGCTTTGTGAAGGGGCTTAACTTGGGCAGAATACACATTTTAGTACAGCTGTTCTCATTACTGTTACTGTTTGTAATAACTGCTATGGTATATTATATATTACTGTGGTCTGTCTCCATAGTTGACTGTCTCCGTGGTGCTTGGGTTGTTTGATGTGGCACTGACTGATTATCCCCCCCATATACATGTCTAATGTTTAGACTGGTTGAAACAGTCTGTGTACTAACTCCACAGACACAGACTGTCACTGGTCATTAGGCTCAGGACTAGGACAGATCCACTTAGCCCATGCAGACCACCAGGCATCAGCTAATCCCCTAACACACTTTCTCTGGTTAATCAAGCAAAAATAAACAGATTTTGCCTCATTTTAGATAGTTACTTGCATTCATATTAACACAATGACTTTGATTTTGCTCTTGGTTTTACACTGGGCAAATTTGGCACTTGGCACCACCATGAGACAAATATTGTAGTCAGTGGTTATCTGAATGTTTGTGCATAGATTTAATTTGCATTTTCCCATTATTTTTACACAGAGGTGCCAGTGGTTATTTCTTTGGGTCTGCTTTGTTTGTTTGATTTGTCTCTGTCTCTGATTAGATTTACTTCATGTATTTGATTTGGGGAAAAAAAATGTATAATTAAATGAGAGGGTAGTGTAGTGTTGGGTTAACACCGGGCAACCTTCTTGACAACCAGACTCTTACACAAAATGTATAGACTATTACATATTTTCGTGTGACTTCTAGCTGGAAGGGTAATACATATTTTCTTATCTGGACATTGTTTTATATTATTTCAGCTTCATTTAATAAGGTGTATAGATTTATCATGAAAATCCTTTTTATACACAGATTTGCCTATAATGATCATTTGAGCCTGTAGGCAATTAGAATTTACTTTTCCCCTATTTGACTACTGCTACATTTTTGTGGACTAAACTTAAGATTTTGTTTGCTCAGTTGCAGGGAGAGCCTTCGCCCGAACCAACCCCTGACCTCCTGCCTCGCCTGTGTCACCTCGTGAAGGGAGACAGCGGCTATGGCTTCAATCTCCACAGCAAAAAGAAGAGAACAGGGCAGTTTGTGCGATCTGTAGACCCTGGCAGTCCAGCCGAACAAGCTGACATTCGGCCAAGAGACAGGATAGTAGAGGTACACGCAAATTCAACACACATTTTCAATTCAAGTGAGTTTGAGAGCGCATCTGATACTTATCTGGCATGTATTGTGTCAAGTATTCAGATTATATTAGGAATAAAATTATGTGGGTGCTGGAAGATCAGGGAGTCAAAGGTGCCCATCTATAAAGCCATGCACTGCTCTATGAAAATATATTTTTGCAATTTTGTTTGTACTGAAGTTAAGTGGCGCTCTAATAAATATACTACAAAGTATAGTAATAAATACATAGAGAAAAGTGGAGTTTATATTTCTGTGCAAGAACAACATCTGCCAATTTTCTGCATATTATACAAAGAAAAAATCTAATTATCTTATATTTTCAGATGGTGTGGCAGGAGGTCTGTGAAAGAGAATGTTCTGTCAGCACATCATCAGTTACAATGAGACTTCTTTTTCAGGTAAATGGGTTGAATGTAGAGGGGCTCAAACACTCGGAGGTGGTGGCTTTTATCCGAGCTGGGGGAGACGAAGTGCAGCTGCTTGTGGTGGATCCAGAGACTGATGAACTCTTTCAGCGCCTGGGAATCACACCTACAACCAGCCACGTCAAAGGTCAGTCACATGTACTACATAAGTGAGTCTCCTACATAAGTGGCTCTCATGAAATGTTTATATAAAGAATAGGTAGCACTTGATCAATATGATTTTGTTTTATAATTTTTCAATGCCACTTCTGTTTTTATATCAGTGAAATAACAATACATCCATCTGTACTCAGTTTCTAAATCAGGCATGTCCACAAATGTTACGTGAATCATTATAATGGGAAGTCAGTTGAAATTGTTATATTAGGAAGCACTTTAAGAACAAAAATTGTTTTAAAGTATGCTGATTTACTTCTCTCATTTAATTTGTCACATAAAGTTGTCAATCATTATGAAAAGTAAATGATCAGCATGTCTCTTGTGCCAAGGTAAATGTTTTTTGTTTTTTTTTACTTGTAACATATTTTGCAGAGGTCTATGTGGATGAAGTTTCCACTGAAAGCATCCCCCAAACTCCATCTCCAACTATCGGCCTCATGTCATCCCACCCCCCGATTATAAACGTCACTCTCACGGACGGCTCCATCAGCCCAAAATCCTCCCCTAAATCTCGGGCCAACGGGAGCACCGCGTCCCAGTCATCTAGAAGCTCCACCACTCAGTCCGAGATCAGCAGCTCCGATATGAGCATTCAGGTAAGGGGATAAAAAGGCGTATGCACTGTAAAACAACAAAGACACAAAAGGACAGCAACTAACGCCTCAGTGGTTTTGTGTTGCAGGTCCCAGATGAGGATGACAGGTGTGTGTCAGACCCCTTTGCAGAGGGCGGCCTGCGCTTGAGTCCCACAGCAGCGGAGGCCAGGAAGAAGGCCCTGGCCAGTCGTAACAACAAGAGACCTCCTCCAATGGACTGGAGTAAGAAAAAAGAGATATTCAGTAACTTCTGAACCCATGAAACTACAGTATGGACATATAAAGTACATAATTTGAAGTAGGATGGGTATGGAATGATCTGGACATTGGGGTTGAAGTTACAGGAGAGATTCTCAGATGAAGAACAGGGCTTATGGGTTATGAGTGAGTAATAGAGTCTGCACTTTCCCTTTTTTTGTGTCTGATACAGTATCAACAACAATGCAATCATTTATCAGCTTTGTGTCTGGACTGTGATGTGCTGCTGTGTTTGTGTACGTTATCATAAAAGCTAAATTTGTGAGATAGTTTTTAGAATATCTCATTTACATTGGCCCATGCATCTTAATTCAGTGTAAATGAAGAGTGAAGAAAATTGTCTTTGAACTTATTCTTGAACAAATGAAATATGTAACATTGTTAACATTTGTTGTGATTAAGCCTCAAACAATGTAAAATAAATCATGTACATAATGCCATACAAGGTGTTTAATATCATACTGGCCTGGGCTCCTCCCTCTAAATGAGGACAACAGTAAATCTGTTGGGAGGTGGACAAACAAAAGGCTGAATAAGGACAGGTACAGAAGACAAACAGGAAAAGCCAGCTTATGTCCTTCAGATGAAGATGCTCAACTCCTGTGTCCTAAATTTTACACCCCAAACAATGAGGACCTTCTCATATTGTCTATATCAGATGCACAGATATGAATATAAGACTGGTCTCATTTCCTACATCAACCTGTGTTAGATGCAGGAAGAGAGGAAGTTCTCATAAACTCCATTAAACTCTATCTCATAGAATCCAGTAGAAGTCAAGTGCAGCATCATAAATCTACTACTATAAGACAAAACTGTACAGAAAAAATATATGTTTAATAAAAGTACAGCTCAAAGAATTTCTTAAGTATCCAGTTCCATTGCACCAGTTGCAGTCCTCCTACAGTCCACTTTGTGATGGAGAAGAAAAGATGGCATCCCGTGTAAGTGAAGATGGTAATTATAGTCTGATTGTGAGTCTGATAGACGCTGCGCTGGGATTTAATGGGGAATTTGTGACCAGCCACTGAACCCCATTGTCTCCTGCATGTCCCAGCGCAGCAAAGGAGGCCAAAGATATTTCTAAAAGAGGCTTTGATGCGACCAAGCTGGAATTTCTGTCCTAGATAAACACTATTCATTCACATGGGAAATTCCAACAGCATGATAATCTGAAGGATCTAACTTTACTGGAGATGCTTAAAAGTTAAATAATAAACAGACAATCATTCATACTATTCTGTTTTTCAATAGTTCCCATAGGGCCTTTCAGCTCTAATTTTAGCTCTAACATTGTATCACAGACATACACAGTGCATATGATTTCCACAAACATTGGAAGTCATATGCACTTGCATCAGTTAAAATTTTTGTAAGACAGTCTGATTAATTAACAGTAAATCTTTTAAATACATTTTATGTAAACTTAAAATGTACCAAAATGTCACATTAATTTCTCAATCCTGTTGAATAAGATACCCAATATAATCTTGTACATTCTTCTAACTATTCATTATTATTACACTATTCTATGCATGTGTATCAGTATGAAAGGTCCGGGGTTTGGTTAAGTTTATGCATCATGTAATGTGAGCCTTGAGTCACAGAAAAGGAGGACACACATAGATAATGGTGTGATGTCATTAGTCAGGTAAACTACAAGCACTAACAGTATATATAGAAAATAATTATGTTTTTGCTACTAACCTTTGCAAGGCAAGTGGCAAGTAATTCACACAGAAATGAAGGTCTGCCAAATTACAACAAAATCATGCTCTTTATTGGATATTAAAGACCATTTTGATCAATCGCTCTGTTTTGTTCCCATCTTTTTTGCTTTAAAAAAATTCACATTATTTTTTTCAATGTAACTTATTTTCATCACACACAGTTATTTCCAATACAAAAATGCTCATAAAAACTATAAAGACTAAAAGGAACATGTGAAAAAGCTCTGACTAAAGATTGTCTCATATTGGTTATTAATGATCGATTTAGAAGTTTGAATTGTCACAGTCTAGGTTAAATTCAGTGCTTATTAGCATTTAATTACTAACTGTAGGAAAACAAAAGCCTGTGTTTGAGAAATTTGAGAAAATCTAACTCCAATAAAAAAGTCCTATACTATGCAAAAGTGACGTGACTTTTGTGAGCTTTTAGCTATGTTATAATGTTGTTACCTCATCAAAAACAAAGCCATTGTGTTTTGTTTCATTCACAAGTTTGAGTAATAATTTATTACTAGTCTGATTACATCTCCAAAGCTCAAAATGCTCTGTTCCACCTTGTGAAGTCATGATGAAGCAGTAGTTTTCAAGTTAACAGCTAGCTTGTACCTTTTGTTGCCAATTACAGGGCTGAAATTATCCAAATGATTCTAGTGAAGGTGTATGGAGTTTAAAAACATAGTGGAGCTCTTCCTGTATTACCACACAACATCACAAGCTGGAACACAGTGTTTTCTGTTTGAGAGAAGAATATATGCAAGGTTTGTATGTTAAACATGTGTGAATGAAACAAAAGACAACTCCAGGTAACTTTTTGTTGAGGAAACAACATCATAACATAGATCACATAACAGCATAATATGGGTCCTAAAATCCCCAAATTCTGTGAACTGGTCTCAAACATTTAGTGTGAAAACTTTAGTTCAGCTGACAATTTTCAACCTTCTTTTGTTATAGAATCTACCTGGATGACTGAGGGATTATTATAAACATCCTTTCACTTATAACAAACCAACCAAGCAAATATTATGACCACTGAAGTAATGCTTTGTTGTCATTGTCAACTAGTCGTCAACTAGTAAACCTAAATTCATCACAAGGAGTGGAGCGAGAGATATGAAGTGTAATTTATATTATTTTAAATTTTAGATTATGAGATTATATGGAATGTCAAAGAATTAAATCCAGCAATGTTGAAACTGACCATTAAAGGGGTGTCATGCAGTATTTTAGGCAGAGGGTCCAAAACTGGAATGTTCCACCAAATGGCATAAAACTATAGGTGACTCCACCAAACCAAGTAGTTTTGGGCCATAAAATGATCTGACTCCACCAGAAAAGTATGTAGTGCACCTTTGAGGCCTTTGACTATAGGCACTTGAAATCTATATTACAACCAAAAATTTGTTAACCAAATAAATTTTCTTGCTGCCTGTAGGTGTTTTGATAGTATATGTCTTCAGTATGTTGTGACATTACCTGAAACCCCCCAAATTAGTACAAATACAAGTGGTCATAATGAATTGCCTGATCAGTGCACGTGTTCAATATTGAGACAGCAGCATGTTTTAACTTACATTTGAGTGGTATTTGCTCTTTGGCAGTGTCCTAGCTTTTATTTACCTTACTATGCTCTATTCTGGCTTTATTTTGAGGTGCTGCATTGGTGTAGCAACGTAGTTGGTGTTTATTACTATTTATCAAGCTTAAAAGGTACACTGTGTAATTTTTCTGGTTGAGGGTCCATGTGCCTGCTTGTCTCCATGGTAATGTTATTGCTTCATATGAAATGTTCCACAGGATGTCACTAAATGTATCTACATTGGATATTTCATTGCAGGGTTTAATTAGCTTGAAAAACGTGCATTTTAAACATGAGCAGGGTCGACTCTTAACATATCTGACCTGTAATTTGACCTTATGCCATCACCTGCTCATCTCCATGGAGGAAAAAGCCATACTGTAGAAATTCAAGACAAAGCAATAACATCTCCTTGACAAGAAGGACAAGCAGGAAGCTGGCCCACCACCAGAAAAGTTACATAGTACAACTTTAAATGCATACTGAACAGCACACACACACACCCACACCCAAATATCCAGTGAAAAAACACACATAAAAGCATGCATACATATAAAAAGAAATTAAACAAAATTATTTGAACCCCCGCTATCAACTGCTCAAAACATGCTTGCAGGGAGAAACTTCTCATGCACACACACACGCACCTCAATATGGCAATAGGTTAGTGGTTGTAAAAGTGCGGATTAGTCGCAGTTTCACAAGTTGATTTTATTTGCCATTTAGTATTGGGATATTTTTGCCAGTCAAAGACACTTAAATTTCACAGTGCAACACAGTATGACAAACACTGACATTAGGGTCAAGACATATATGGGTGAGGTTAAAAAAATGTCCATACAAAAAAGTTAAAATAAAATAAAAAAAAGTGCAAAAAAAAAAAAACAAACAACTTAACAGTCACTGAAAGTAGCATTAATAAAATAAAAAAAAGTTTGCGTTACTTGTGCAGGTTTATGTCCACTATTGAAAACAAATCAGTAGCAGCAAAATAAGAAAAAAAAAACAGAATATGGACCAGTTTAAAATGTTATAAAGATTACAACGACACTGAGGATCACTGTTTTACTTAAGATATCAATATGGCATCAAATGGGTATCAGTACGGATGTGAACAGACACTCACTCACTCAGTCACAGTTAACAAGCGCAATAGACAAGACCAATGGAAGTAAGTTTAAGCTCAGTACCATATCAAACTATGCATCTTCACACGTTTTATACACAAAATGCCAAAATAGGAGTTTTTACAGACTGCACATGCATACAGACACATACACACAAAAGTTTACGAACTACTAAAGAAAGTTATGGATTTCTCTTAGAATTTCCCCGAATGATGAGAAAAACAAATGTGTTAGCCCTAATCCTCCCTTTTCTAGAGGAATGATTTCGGTGTATAGCCAAAAGCAAACAAGCTTTTCTTAAACTCTCAATAGGTCAGATAAAAATGCAATAGGAGACTGTAAATTAGAAAAACTGTCACTGACGCTCTGGGGTCAAAATGAAGGAAACATAGATAACGATTATCTTACAGCCATATAATGTGGATGAAGTGATTTCTATTGATATCCCCGTAAAATAAAGATATTTTCACCCAAAAATGGACAGTTTAGACACCTGCTTATCCGCCCCTAACTACATGTAGTAGGTCACAAAAAGTCTAAATTATAGTGCCACCCACAGTCAGTTCTAGGTACTGCATGTACAGCTTGTGCAAGTGTTAGAGTCTGTTATGTTTGTCGGTCAAGCTACTCTCAACTTTAAGAATCCCATAAAAATCTCAACTGTCCCTGTTGTCCCAGCTAAGTAACAGAACTCTCTAAGGCTCTTAATCCCTGCTTTGTAAACATTTTCTCTCCCTGCCTAT